ATATATATATATATACAGTATGTTATATGAACAATGCACAAAAACAAAAACACATTTTTAAATTGTAGCACAACAAACATTGGAAAAGGTGACGTAGATCGAATACTTTATCGAAGTGGATCGAGTTTTTGTTTAGACTTCAGCTTAAAGCAATACTTCAGTGAGCAGAGACTGTTATTGGATGACCTTTGACCTCTATGCAGACGCCCACAAACAGACTTCTCAGGGCTCACCGTACGATGAGATACTGTAGCAGCAACGCACAGAGCTTCTATTTTCAACTTTTTGATACTCTTTGTATAATGTGTGGGTTTCTTGCTTAGATCTTCGTTCTGCCTTTTTCTCTCCAACTTTGTATCAATAATGAAAAATCTTTGTGTAAAGTGAATTCTTATTGTCCTATTTAATAGGATGTGTCTGTCAAAACACTATTTCAATACTTCAAATAAAAGTGTGGTTTTCCATGTTAAAGCAGTCTCCCTGCAGTGTCTCAGCTTCACCGTCTGTAAAGGTAATTGTCTTGTATTAAAGGTGATACTGGTATACAGATTTATTCCTTCTTTTGACCAAGCATCAGGTGGTATGATATGTTTACAACAGTTTTAGAGTCCTAATAAGCAAGACGATATTTCTTGAGAGAAATTGCCTTTCAACCGATGCATTAGCATACCAGAGGACTGCACTTAAAGGTGCAGTCCACTGGTTTAGTATTGCACATCCAAGAAGTTGGAGGACTCAGTGGAAGAAGCGGCTACAGCGCTGGTTGTCAGGAGCTCATTATTTCTGTGACACATGTCGTATCTCCACTTTTATTGCAGATACTGTACATACAGTTACATTTCGTGTTTCATCTGCACATGCTGATTTGAACAGAACACTGTATCATTCAGGCTCAGCACAGGGGCTGGGTGCAGTGCTTTAGAGGACATACAGTATGTATGTCAGTGTTAGACATGCATCAGAACATCAGCAGGTTTTTTAGTGATAGGATCTTCAGCAGTGAAGGTGATAAGATATTATCATATTATTGCTTGTGCTCTGATCTTTTCATTTCTTCAGCGCAGCATCCCTCATGGCGTGGTACACCTGCTCGTTCTGCTTAAACATCTTTAGCTCCAGCTCAGTCTGCCTGCGCATGGACTGAAGGCAGAAAAAAGCAAGGTTGCTGTGAGTGTTGTGCTTACAATATTAAATCATATTTAAATATTACGATTTTTTTTCACTGAATATAAAACTAAACTTCTGCCTGACATACCTCTAGGTCTCTGGTGATGGCGTGGTTGGGTCCGTGGGTGAACATAAGGATGCGGTAGGCCTTGCAGATCATGCCGTGACCCACCTCTATCTGCCCTGCATGCCAGTGAGTGATCCCTGCCCGCATGATGGCCATGCCTAACTGGGCGTTGTTAGGGTGGTACAACTTCCTGTTCAAGAGAGGGAGGGAATGTTACAGTGAAGGATCAGTTATCCTATTTTTGTGTGTTGGGAACATAAAATCAACAGATTGATTAGTTTGCTGGTAATTGAACTCTGGAAAACTGGGAAATTCAGGGTTCTGATCTAGGCTGAAGATAACATGGGGTTTAAAGGTCCTGTGTGTACCATTGAGGATGATCTATTGTCAGGAATGGAATATAATGTTTATAGTTATGTTTTTATTGGTGTATAATCACCTGAATATATTCAATTCAATTCAATTTTATTTGTATAGTGCTAATTCATAACAGAAGTTATTCTCAGGACACCTTTTCAAATAGATTGAGATCTAGACCGAACTCCTTATAACATTGTTACATTAAGACCCAAAACAGTTTCCCACCATGAAGCAAGCACTTTGCGACAGGGCAAGGGAAAAACCATGCCTGTTAAAAATATAGGAATCCTTATGTTTTTATTACCTTAGAATGAGCTGTTTTATCTACAGAGGATAGCCCAGAACAGGCAAACCAAACACTGGCTCTAGACAGAGTCTAAAGAGAACACAACAACCTTTTAGAAAGAGTTCTAGAATCAGCATAAGTATAGTACTATAGTACGGAAGCCCTAAGAAGTCATGCATTCATACATTTTATTTCCTCCATTTTCTTGTGATTAGGAGTTAATTTTCTCGAGATCTCGGATAACGACACTTTGTTTTCCCGAGATAACGATATAATTAATTCGAGATCTCGAGATATGACTGTGATATGAAACCTGCGGAGTGTTCAAGTATTTCTCAGCATTATGGTATGGTAAAATTGGCGGGGGAAACAGCGTATTCCACTCCGGTTTACAAAATAAAGGTAATTAATAACAGTAAGCTATAGTCGAACTTAAAATAAAATATGTTACATTAAAGTGTTTCATGCGCCCATGATGAATAAAAAACATACTTAATATCAAGCATTTTTACTACTCCTCTGTAGATAAAAACATCCCACTCTAAGGTAACAAAAACACGAGATAATAACGCATGGCCACGCATTATTTCTTTTTAAATCCAATGTCACCAGGTAGTAATGAAAACATACCTATTAATATTAAATTCCATTTCTGCTAATAGATCCTCCTCAATGTTACACACTGGACCTTTAACAATAATTGTGTACTGATGTTGTATCATGTCAGGCAGGAATAGTGTGGTTATGGTTGTGTAGAGAATCCCTCCAGAGCAACGCCCTCTGTCAGCACTCACTTGTATCCCTCCACCATCCTGCGGGCGAGCCCTGCAGCCTCAGAGAAGGACTTCAGGTATGAAAGAACCTCACTGGCAATGCTGAGCACACGCAGCTTGTACAGGTGAGTGTCGGCCAAGACGTTCTCCTGCTTCTGCAGACACTCACGACACAACTTCACCACCTGAGCGAGGACAGGCAAAACACGGGAGAGACAGAGGAACGTGGAGCATATACAGTGTAAGACAATAAAAGAGGAGCTGAAGAAAAGCTGAAAGCAGTGCTGAGTACCTCTTGGTAATCCCTATCAACCCGAGCCATTTCAATCTTCTCCAGACACTCCTTACTGAAGGCGGTCACCTCTTTTACCTTATCAGCAGATAGCTGAGGGGGAGACACAGCAACAACACAGCTAATAGGAATATCCAGAAGCAGTCAGATTCTGCATCTTGTGTGGCATATCATATGCAAACCCAACTGAAACCCCCCTTTTGGTGTACGGTAGAATCTCCCCCGTGTCCCCTCACTCACTTTGTTCCCCTCGCTCTCTGCGGCAGCCATCATCAGGTCGTCCTTGATGTGCTGACTGCAGTGTTCGCAGGTGCAGTCGAAGTGGAAGTTCTCCTTCAGCTTCTTCTGGCGGTCAGCAGTCAGGTTGAGGAAGTCCACGTAGCTGACGGTCAGCTCCTCGCCCTCTGCAATTTTCTCCACGGCTCGCAGCTCGATCCTGGGACAAAGGCAAGACAGGACGGGGTCTGGTTACATATGTGAGGATTTTTCTGACATTTTCAGATAGGATTGAGAAACTGCTGTCATTGTCTGATCCTACTGGGTTAGAGAGAAATGCTTGATATTTTTGGAGCAGCTGGGTTTTCATTTGACATTATCACAGCAATAAAAAGGCTCAGTAATTTCCTTAAACAACTGTAGTTTTTATTAAACACTATTTTCAGCGGCGTATAAATAAACTACAGTGTGTATCAGAAAAATAATTTAGAAAACAATCGAAAAATGTAGCTTCATATTTAGATTACAGACGTGAAAGTGGTATCAATCTTCTCAGCTGTCAGGTAGAAAGTGAGTAGGATAATATTTTCACCAAAACTGTCAAAGTGTTCCGTTCTAATATAGCTGACTGACAATACACTTATAATTACTTTTATTCATTAGAGACATTATTATACGTTTTGATTAAATGAATGACTTAATTGCCGCATCATGTACCATTACTGTAAACTTGAATTGAGTGCTCATGAAGCAAATCTTGCTTGTGTTTTAATTGTGTTTAGTTTTAAAGGTCCAGTGTGTNNGAATATAATATTCATAGCTATGTTGTTATTAGTGTATAATCACCTTAGAATGAGACATTTTTATCTACAGAGGGAGCAAGCCCACTTCTAGCAGTCCACCATGTTGATCTGTCATGTTTCTACAGTAGCCCAGAAGGGACAAACCAAACTCTGGCTCCAGATAGGGGCGTTCACATTTTCTGCTGTTCTGCATGTTTTGCTGCCACCATAACTACACCACTAAATACCACTAAATCCTACACACTGGTCCTTTAATAGATAAAATGAATTTATGGCCACTTCACACCCAGCTGTGAACAGCTGTAATACGTACCTCCTCTGAGAATGGAGAGCTGAACTCACAGCTGACTGGCTGCAAAAGAAAGTGACAATCAGTGTAAATTGATTAATTAATTGATACAACATTGAATTATAAAACATTTATAAAATGTATAAACATTCATACATTTGCCTTTTGTTTACAATAAAGCATCAACAAGTCTATATGATGCAAATCCTGTTATATGATTGTACCTGATGTGGTTATATAACTTTCTGGTTCTCTGGGTGTAATAACACAGTACAGATTCCACAGGTTTTACAGGG